CACAGTATTATACGCCTTGAAAAGGCAATAAATACACCTAAAGTAAATTCTCCGTTTGCAAAAGAAATTTTTATTTCATTGATTAAGTTTAGTATTGCATGCTCAGTTGAAGTATTTTTTAGAAACTTTTGATATTATTTCATCTTCTATAGTATTTCACCAATTTATTAAGGTATTCTCGATTTCGCCAAAGTGTTGATTTTCTACCTCAAAACATATTGTTATGTTAAATTAATATAATTAAGAACCAATGGGACGCAAAATAGAAAGGTACAATAAATCAATCTGTAAAAAGCTTAAACCAAATGCGTAAATTAGGAGTCATTATTTCATGTAACGCCAAGTACACAGTTCTTCGAACAGTTTTCTCAAAGTCCTTACAAATTCTTGGTATGCAAAATGACATTCACTTTCATAGTGAATGAAATACAAATATATATTCGTATTTCAAGTTTATTAGACCACGTTTATTCAGTGTCTTTTTGGGATTTTTATTTAAAAACTTGTAAAACCTTTTGTTGAATTTATTCAACGCCATGCAACAAAATAGGCTTCCAGCATGAGACATCTTTAATACTGCAAAAGACAAGAAGATTGAATCTACAATAATTGACTAAATGTTTTGGTTAGGGCAGCGATAAGCTTAGGGTTAAGAGAAATTTTCAGCACTTTTTTCCCGCATTTTACTCATTAAAAATTTCAGTATTTTACCTGAATCCACAATAACATATGACATATGTTGCTTATTTAAACATATAATAACAACGCTTATTTATATTTGACATTACCCATTAGCGTAGCAAATGCAAAAAGATCCTTAAGCATATTAAAATAAAATTAAGGACAACAATTGCGCAAATCATTTTGTCTGCACTACACCTAATAGCTACTGAAGCAGTAATAGCAGCTCAATTAAATTTACAGGGTGCTATAAATCAATTTGCAGCAATAAAGGCAAAAAAAAAACTTTCATTAGATTTTTTACTTACTAGAACTGCATAGTGTAACATAATAGACCTGCATTTAGTAGCTGCATTTTAATGTCATCGAAATGTCAAAGCAATTGAATTAATACGATAAATAAACACAAACAGCAAAAAAGTACTTCTAAAGAAGTTAAACTTGAAAGACACCATTCATTATGAGAATCCGAAAATGAAGATTTTTTTTTTTCTCAAAAAGTAAACATATGTGTAAAAATTGCGTTAATATTACTTAAAAAAACCAATAGGTGTATATATATGTATATATTTATATAATATATAATATATGTATATATTTATATGTATATATACATATATATATATATATATATAAATATTTATATATATATATACATATATATATATATATATATATATATATATATATATATATATATATATATATATATATATATATATATATATATATATATATATATATATTTTATATATATATATATATATATATATATATATATATATATAAATTGACCACACACACACACACATACACACATACACACACACACACACACATCATACACATACACACACACGCATTTATTCCTATATAGCAATATTGCTACAAAATTTCATTTTATTTTATAGAGCATTTTATTTTAATTTTAAGCTAATATTTAATGCAATGTTTTTGATAATAAAGAAATCCATAAGTTTAACTATATCTGCTAAATCATGTTATAGCAAGAATAGTTAAGCAAGAAAAAAGTAAAATTCACGCAATAAGTAATGCGGAAAACAATAATCAATTATTTAAGTGCGACCTTGAAAAAGCAATAAACTTTGGTAAGGAGGCTATTAATCATAATTTCTTAATAAACATAACATCAATCATAATAAACTTATTATCAGTTATTGGCGCTTGGAAAAAAGTTATCGGCCATGGAAAAAAAAACTGATATAGAAAATATATATGTTAATATATTGAAAACTTTTGACATATTTCTGCAAAATATCCTACTTCCGAAATTCAAAGCTTATTGAGGAGATTACAAACTCTAAAAGTATATAGAATATAAGGTAAGAGATTGAAAACAAAGTGTAGTATTAGTGGTGCATACTCAGAATGTATAATAGTTGGTAAATGGGTCCCCCAGTATTAACATTTATGAATTCTATCAATGATTTTCCTGATTTGGTTTTAGCTGTTGCATCGGTATTTGCAGATTAAACAAAGCAATACAGTTTGCTTTTTAATAGCTTATCATGAAATAACCTGCAAAACCTCATTAACATTAAAGCAAACTGGTTAAAATTATGAAAACCAAGTTTTAATGTAAAAAATGCAAATTTGTTCACTACACTTTTGGGATCACTAAATTTGCTAACTATGCTCTTGGGATCAACAAATACAAAATTCATTTATATACTCGTTGATACAAGCATCAATACTTCAATTAATCTTAAAAATTTTATCTCATCGTTAAAGGCTTAAGGCGTCTTCTACTTTTCTAAGAACAAAGACTAATACCATCAATAAAACTGGTGGAATGATC